TGTGTGTGTGTGTGTGTGTGTGTGTGTGTGTGTGTGTGTGTGTCAGTCACTGAGTGTTCAGGAGTCTGACGGGGGAAGAAACTGTTTTGCAGTCTAGCAGTGAGGGCCTGAATGCTCCGGTACCTCTTTCCAGAAGGCAGCAGGGTGAAGAGTGTGTGTGAGGGGTGTGTTTGGTCCTCCATAATGCTGGTGGCTTTGCAGATGTCTGTGATGGAGGGAAGAGAGGCTCCAATGATTTACTCAGCTGTTCTCACTATCCATTGTAGGGTATTGCGATCTGATACAGTGCCGTTACCATACCAGACAGTGATGCAGCTGCTCAGTGTCTCTGTAGAAGGTGATGAGAATGGGTGTTGGGAGATGGGCTTTTCTCAGCTTCCGCCGGAAGTAATGACACCTCTGGGCCTTCTTAGTTATGGAGCTGGGGTTGAGGGACCAGGAGAGGTTCTCCACCAGGTGGACACCAAGGGATTTGGTGCTCTTGACGACCTCCACAGAGCGTCCATCGATGTTAAGTAGACAGTGATCTCTCTGTGCTCTCCTGAAGTCGACAATCATCTCTTTTGTTTTGTCCACGTTCAGAGACAAATTGTTGAATCTACAACAGTCCGTGGTCCTCCATCAGTTCACCTCTCTGTATTCATCGCTCTTGCTGGTGAGACCCACCACAGTCGTCAGACTTGATCATGTGATTCGAACTGTGCATTGCTGCACAGTCATGAGTCAGCAGAATGAACAATTATACTGTCATAGTCTGCACATAATGACTGAGCAGTAGCAATGCCAAATTTGGTAGATAATTGAGAAAAACTTGCAAATTGTCCATCTGCATATAATTGCACAAAAGATTTGAGACCCTTAGAGTGCCAGAAGTGAGAAAGCCCGCAGACCAAGGCTCTTCCTAACCTGAGACCAAATTTTAAGAGTATGATGGCTATTATTACTATTACTATTATTATTACTAGGTAAAGAAAGCCTCGCCTCTGTCAGTGCGCCCCAGGGCAGCTGTGGCTACAATGTAGCTTGCCATCGCCAGTGTGTGAATGTGTGTGTGAATGGGTGAATGACTGAATGTAGTGTGAAGCGCTTTGGGGTCCTTAGGGACTAGAAAAGCGCTATACAAATGCAGGCCATTTACCATTTACCATAAAGACAAAGAAAGAGGAAGTGATGAGCCTGAAGTCGCAGGTAAATAAATCTTCCTGTTTGAATGAGACTAAATGGCAATGACGGTTCATGGTAGTAGTGTCTCCATTACAACATACACCTGATATTTGTGGATTGGAGATCCAGCTTAAGTCTTTGAAGAAGAGCTCTTCTCAAAATTGATGTTTACCATTTCAAATAAATGAGGTTATTAAGGAAGCGAGAGATTTAAAAAAGGATTTGGGAATCAGGATGGGAAGGTAAATGGACTGATTCTTATACAGCGCTTTTCTACAGGGTGGGCCATTTGTATGGATACACCGTAATAACATGGGAATGGTTGGTGATATTAAAGTCCTGTTTGTGGCACATTAGTATATGTGAGGGGGCAAACTCCTCAAGATGGGTGGTGACCATGGGGGCCATTTAGAAGTCGGCCATCTTGGATACAACTTTTGTTTTTTAAATAGGAAGAGGGCCATGTGACACATCAAACTTATTGGTAATGTCACAAGAAAAACAATGGTGTGCTTGGTTTCAACGTAACTTTATTCTTTCATGAGTTATTTACAAGTTTCTGACCACTTATAAAATGTGTTCAATGTGCTGCCCATTAGGACTGGGCCATATCATACCGTTCACGGTAATACCGGTATAATGTTGGGCAACGACAAGAAAATTAAATATCGCGATAGAATTTGGGTAAAACGCCAGGCGCTGTGCCTTTGTTTTCATACGCACATGGCGGAAAAAGTGTGCCGGCGGCGACGGAGAATGAGGAGGGCGAAAGCGGATCGTTGAATGAAACGGATGAACCAGAAGTGGTTTGTAAAAATGCTGCAGCTTCAGTGGTGTGGAACTGGCAGAGGTGGGTAGTAACGAGCTACATTTACTCCGTTACATTTACTTGAGTAAGTTTTGGAAAAAAATGTACTTTTAAAGTACCTTTTTTGCATGATACTTTTTACTTTTACTTGAGTACATTTGTGAAGAAGAAACGGTACTTTTACTCCGCTACATTTGCAAAATTCGACTCGTTACTTTTTTTTAATAATTAATTTCACACATTGGATAATACTACTAATATAAATTATGGATCATGCCGCCACTGGAGCTACCGGTAACTCTTTCACCAATCAGACGTAGCCATGCGGTCACATGACCAGATATAAAATGGCAGGCCAAGTAGCCCAACTTCCAAAGACGGACAGAAGAAATACATCAAAAAATGGCAACCGTCTCCGCTAACACTGAACAGGACAAACACCCTTGGCCGCATATGCAAAGCATGTTTCGCTTTAAAGGAGTACAAAAGGACAGCTATATAATGCGATGTCTTCTGTGTGAGCCAAAGCAAACCGACGTTTCAGTGTCGGTTTGCTCAACATCTAACTCAACATCTAACTCAACTCAACTCAAACCTGAGGAAACATGTTGTGGTAAGTTTGCTTTAAATTCCTTTTTTAGCTGTGGTTAAGTGGATGTCAGTCTTACAGCTGCTGTGTCAAGCTTGATTCCTTGAGAGTCAGTGTACTACAACTTTTTGATGTGTCCATAGTCCAACACACATGAATTAAATGGCTGAATTTTGCCACCTCAGTATGCAGTCAAGTACCATAGAGTCTTGCTAATGTGTTTTACATCTGATTGCATAATGATCAAATCAAATCAAATCAAATCACTTTTATTGTCACATCGCATGTGCAGGCACACTGGCACAGCACATGCGAGTGAAATTCTTGTGTGCGAGCCCACAAGCAACAGAAATGTGCAAACACATCCTCTGATATCCTCTGCACTATGCACTTGAACATATAAAAGTAATGATCACCTCTTTCATTGAATTTTGAGTGTTTTAATCAGCATTGTTACACCTGTGGTGTTCCCGGACAAAAGTAACTGCCATAGGAAATAAACTGGAATCCACTCACTGAATGGCCCACTTATCCCTCCTCTCGCGTTCACCCCCCACCCCTTACTTTAGTGTTCCCAGTCAAAATTGACTGGTCTGTTTTAACAGCTCTTAAATTACCATAACAAACAGTTTTCACCACTAAATTCAGTTGTGTGGGTGCGTCAATGGGTCATTCAGAGAAACTTTCATTTGGTATTCCAGTGGGTCGTTCAGGGGGCCTTTCATTTGGTCATTCAGTCAATGGGTGGGGGGTTGAACATGACAGGAGGGTTAAAAATACGGGATCATCTTTTTTTTCCCTCTTTTTTTTCTAAGAACTGTATAGAAATTGCTTAGTCACATGTCATTTCATGGTCTATTTTTTCTGCCAACAGAGGGTTCACTCCAACAAATTGAGAATGTATACGGAATTAATGGACAGCCACAGAAAACGAAAGTCATCCTCTTCTACCGAGCTACCTATGAAGAACGCAAAACTTACAGACTCTTTCACTGGCTCTAGGCGAATAACACAAGCAGCATTTGACAAGCTTCTGCTTACGTTTGTATGTGAGGCCAACCAACCATTTTCTATAGTTGAGACATCATCCTTCAAGACTATGATGGAAACCTTGCAACCTCAGTGTACAGTAATGACAAGGAAAACGTGTTCAAAAATACAAGACGCTGTGAAGAACATGAAAAGCATAATCATCAAAAAACTGAGCACTGCATGAACTATGTTGCTACCACAACAGACTGCTGGTCTGCCAGACAGCATAGCTACTTAGGAGTTACTTGTCACTAGATAGATGATATCTCTTTAGAAAGGCATTCTGCTGCACTGGCTTGTAGACCTCTTAAAGGTTCACACACATTTGATGTTCTTGCTGCTGCATTAGAGGAAATCCATTCAGAGTATCACATCAGAGAAAAGGTCACCCGGACGACAACAGACAGTGGTTCAAACTTCTTGAAGGCCTTTCGATTATATGGTGAGGACAAAGAGGAAGGAACAACCAATTGGCAGGAGGATAGTGGGTCTATCCTTGATGATGCAGAAGACAGTGAGTTAGAGGTGGAGTATCAAGATGTGTTTGCCGTTTTGGATGATAACACAGGTCTGGAGTACCAGCTTCCAAGGCACCAAAAGTGTGCATGTCATCTACTCAATCTTATATCAACAGTTGATGCCACTGCTGCAGAAGCTACCAATGATACATACAAGAGACTGTCTCGGTCTGCTTTTGCAAAATGTCATGCTCTGTGGAATAAAACCAGCAGGTCAATCATGGCTTATGAAAGAGTGGAACGTGAGTGCAAGTTGCAGTTTCTTCGACCCAATCAAACTCGTTGGAGCTCCCTGTTCCTTGCTGTGGAAAGATTTGTGCGCATTCATAAAGAGCAAGGAGAGAAAACAATCCGCAATGTTTGCACGGCATTAAAGATAAAGATGTAAGTTGATGGAACTTGTTTTTAAATATTAAATTGTGACTAATGTGTGAATCCACCCCTTTTTTTTAAGTGACTTTGACTGACACTGAAAAATGTAAATATTATCAATTACTTATAGTTTTACTGTCACATTTTGCAATCATTTGCAAATTTTAAAGACAGTTATTACATTGCTGTAGAAATGGCTATGACCTATTTCTGTTTGTACACTTTTTTTTAGGTTCAATCTGCTGAAATGGGATTTTTGGTTGAGTACACTGCTGTGATGAAGCCTGTTGTCATGGCCCTTAAGGGGAATCATCTGTGCACATGGGCTTCTTGCTACCAACACTTTACCAGTTGCTGGAGAAGCTGAGGAAGCTGGAGTCATCTTGCAAAATGTGTAGACCTCTTGTTGATGCGCTGCAGGATGGAATCCAGAAACGTTTTGGAGAAATGATGAAAGACCCTCAGCTCTTAAATTGTGAGCCACTAGATAATGACTTATAATGACTTTTCTTGTTACTGTGATTTGGGATTATAGTGTTAGTTGGGGGGAAAAAAGGCTGACAAAAGTTAGGGGAAAAAAACATCTCCGGTGTGATAATATTTTTCATGCCAAACATCAGCAGCTCGGCAGTCTATACAGCAGACTAATGCACAGACTTAACCATACATCTTTCCACAGGTCTGACCTTCATCAGACATCAACTAGACACAGAGTTGGGTGAGGCCAGCACAAACAGCAGCCTATCTGATGAAGATGACTTCTTTGGGTCCATGGGGTCAGGAAATCCAGAAGCAGTGGAGCTGGAGAGGTACCTTTCATGTCCATTCACTGGAGGTATGGATGTATTGCATGGCTTTCCTCAGATCAAGAAGCTGTCAGTCAAAGTCAATACAGCTCTTTGTAGTTGAGTGTAGTTTTTATTTGAAATATTTTCATTCTGGTGTTTGTATTGCATGTTTTTAGTGTTTTCATATTACATTGTGTTAATCCACTGTCTATACTTCAGGGTATTTTAGTATACAAAGAACATTTTATAGTTTTGTTAGAATGTCTATTCCTGTGGAATTTTAGCACAGATGTGTTGTGTGTGTTTTTTTTGTTTTTTGTTTTTTTAATTCCTGCTGTCCACTTTGGGAATAAACTTTTCCTGATTATACCTGTTGCATCTCTGTGTCATTTGTTTCTGATTTACTTAATCCCTCCTTGTATTTAAAAGAACCACCCCTAGTATGACATTCTGGCGCATCAGCTGTAGTCTGTTATGTTGAAGTTGCGTCGTTCTAATGTTTTCTCTGAGGCTGCTGTAAATGCGAATATATTTACTGTGGGTTTTGCTTGAAAAAGCTTTACGTTGTGAAAAACTGAAATCTTGAAATTAGAATTGTTGTGCCTTATTTTGTGGATCTTTTTACATATATTCCTTTTGAAAATACTAAAATTTGTATATTTATTTATTTTTCTTTGTCTGATAGCATTTATTTATAAAATAAATCGGACATTTCAAACAGTTACTCGCTACTTACTCTGTACTTGAATAGCCTTTTTACCAAGTACTTTTTTACTCTTACTCGAGTAACTTTTTTGACGACTACTTTTCACTTTTACTTGAGTAATAATATTTTAAAGTAATGATACTCTTACTTGAGTACAAGTTCTGGATGCTCGACCCACCTCTGGGAACTGGTTTAGCTTTCGATTGTCAGATACACAACAAAGCACTATTTTTGGTAGAGCATGCTAGCATGCTCATCACTGAACAAAATCTTCTGCGTGAACTGAAGGTCCTGTTCCACTTTTTGTTTTGCCCATTCTGCAAATTCTGTGCGCCGATCTGGGTCATCCTCGTTGAGATGCTGCTGTAGCTGGAGTTTGTAAGGGTGCCATTTGTCTATTTATCCATCCATCCATCCATGCATCCATCTGCTCCCGCTTATCCTTTTCAGGGTCGCGGAGGGTGCCGGAGCCAATCCCAGCTGTCATAGGGCAAGAGGCGGGGTACACCCTGGACAGGTCACCAGTCTGTCACAGCGCTAACACACAAGGACAGACAACCATTCACACTCACATTCACTCGCACATTCACACCTAGTGGCAATTTGGATTATCCAATTAACCTATCCCCACAAGCTGCATGTCTTTGGATGGTGGGAGGAAGCCGGAGTACCCGGAGGGAACCCACGCAGACACGGGGAGGACATGCAAACTCCACACAGAAAGATCCCGGCCTGATGGTGGAATTGACCTCAGGACCTTCTTGCTGTGCGGCAACAGTGCTAACCACCGTGCTGCCGGTGCCATTTGTGAGTAGCTAATATCCGCCGAAGGGATGTTCGACTAATGCCACTCTCCAGTGACATGCGGCGAGTTCTACGCTGTGGGCTCTTGCTGAATGAAGCTAGGACAGCCACAGATGTTTCTTCATTAGTGACAGTTTTCTTGCGTCCACATTTTGGCAAATCCAATACTGAACCAGTTTCACGAAACTTAGCAAGCAGTTTGCTAACTGTAGTATGGGAGGTGGGTGGTCTCGTAGGGTGTCTTGCATTGAAATCTGCTGCAATGACCCGGTAACTCCGTTCATCAGATATCAACACAATTTCGATCCGCTCCTCACGTGTTAACCTCTTCAACATGTCAATGGCTGTGAACAAAGAGAAACGTGTAAATAACTCATGAAAGAATAAAGTTACATTGAAACCAAGCACACCATTGTTTTTCTTGTGACATCACCAATAAGTTTGATGTGTCACATGGCCCTCTTCCTATTGAAAAAACAAAAGTTGTATCCAAGATGGACGACTTCTAAATGGCCCCCATGGTCACCACCCATCTTGAGGAGTTTGCCCCCTCACATATACTAATGTGCCACAAACAGGACTTTAATATCACCAACCATTCCCATGTTATTACGGTGTATCCATACAAATGGCCCACCCTGTAGAAAAGCGCTGTATAAGAATCAGTCCATTTACCTTCCCATCCTGATTCCCAAATCCTTTTTTAAATCTCTCGCTTCCTTAATAACCTCATTTATTTGAAATGGTAAACATCAATTTTTCCCTTGTTATTACGGTGTATCCATATAAATGGCCCACCCTGTACTCTCCTGGAGTACTCAAAGCGCTGTATACAACATGCCTCATTCACCCATTCATACAAGCACTTCTAAACTAATCTACATTCACATACATTCACACTCCGATAAACGCATCAGTGGGCAACTTTGGGTTAGTATCTTGCCCAAGGATATTTGACATGCAGACTGGGGAAGCCAAGGATCGAGCCACCAACTTTCCAATCAGTAGCTGATCTGCTCTACCACCTCATCCTTTTGTAATCCTTTTGAAGGCATTGAAATACATATAGAAATTTTGGAAGTAGCATAATTTTAACAATTACATTCCATTAAAGACAAAGACAATAGGCACCATCTAAAATAGGAAGGAGATTCTTCTTGAACAAGGGATTAAATTGTTTAGTGACACATATTCCCAGATAATCAAAGTGATCAGTAACTATTTTAAAAGGGGAATTTACAAGATCCTGATCTCTAGCCTTTTCATTGATCATAAACATTTCTCTCTTATTCATATTAATTTATATCCGGGGCGCTGACTAAAACCATTTGGTATATTAAGTATGTAACCTGAGAAAATTAAACAGATTAAACAAATAAAAATCCAAATAAAAGCAAGAATTCTATGAAATAATATATATGCGTCTAGATTAACTCAGCTGACTGACAATTATTTTCCTTTTACTTCTTTGAAAGAGCTGAATGTGCTACTGGACATTTAAATGTGTACCTCCTACCACTTGGTAGTGGTAGCGTACCACTTCATAGTTTGCCAACCGAAAATAAATCTCAAAGAAGAAAAAGAGGACTCCCAGAAAATGGATTCTGCTCATCTGATGTGTTTTCAGTGGGAGAAATTATTTGTCACTCATCCAAGTGACTTCTTCAGTCTCAGATAGGAAACTGCAGTACATTTGCATAATGACTGAAACTAGCACCACTCAAGGAACAATGGGCTGGGAGGTCAGTTTCTTCCTCATAATTATGCAATTATTTGGTTGTTGATCAATGATCATCAGAATTTGCGTAATTATGATGAAGGAACTGACCTCCCAACCCCAGAGGAAGGGGTTACATGAATAGGATAAGGGACCTATGGAATCTTTGATATCCAGCATCCAGACCAGAAAAGGCCCTAACCAATCTGGCGCCCTAGGCAAGATTTTAGGTGGCGCCCCCCTACATCAGCAGTGTAGTGTAATGTTGTAACAAATAATATTTCTATTAAATAAGCTTTACTTTGCATTTTAATTAA